CTATTGTTTGTTTCTACGAATACAAATTAGCTCTAATTTTTAATTATAAAATCCTAATTCTTGAAAAAATAAACAAGTTAAACCGATATTAAGGCTAATCTATACTTATAGAAATGGACATAAGAGTTTAAAATTAATCTACAAATGTATATTGATGGAAAACGAATAATAGAGGAAAATAATTTTAATAAAGACGCTGACAACATTTAAGAAGCTACAATTTGTTGCATTTGTAGTATCTCTAAATATAATTCAATGAATTTCGATTTTTTTGGTCGCTTTTGCAATTTTGGCTGCCTATGTACTGTGTCACAATCCACGTTCACTAGGTACAGCTCTGTATAAGAATTTTGAGCCGCAATTATCTGGAATCGTCGCGAGATTCGCTATATTATTAATCAAATTATCAGATGAAAATTGTCAGTAACGATACCAGTCGTTCTATTAGTACTTAGTTGAAATTACGCGTTTATTACTTATTAGAATCGGCGGAAACGTGGCACGAATAATGTATTATCAAAAATAAAAAAGATTTTAAAAAGTATATTTAAATCAAGATAAAAATAAAGTCATGAAAAATTAAGTCATTGAAAAGTAATAGTAGATAAAGCATTATATATATATATATTTATATAAAATTGTGATAATATATCTCTATATTAACACGTGAAGACAAGATATAAAATTACTTGGAAACGACTTTGAATACATATCATTTTTAGTATGTGCTTTCGATAAATGTCTGTAAAAATTGTGATAAATTCTCGTGTTTCAATGTCAAAGGATTACAAGTGATTTCCAACAGAATATTTTGTTAATTTTATTTTATTCAAAATATTTTTAAATAAAGAGATAATTCAATTATAAATAAAGGTATGCACCAGTATTTAAAAACCGGGTAAGTAATTTAATGAAATTGTATTATATCTAATTGTTTACGCTTCTATTAAAAAAAAAGATTTATGTATATATTATTTGCGATTCGAAAATCTAATATTCAAAGAACTGCCAGAAGAATTTGTTCATAAATTATAACAAGCGTGCAATTTACGCGATTAGCTACTTTGTGTCTCAGTTATATAAATATTGATTGTAAATCAATTTCGGTGAATATATTTGATTCAATATCGATATCGAATATTAAATATTAATATAATTTCACACCGATTAAATTCATTGCACTAAACTAGTTTATTCCGGTTTGCGCTGACCTTACTACTCTCGGCATTATCATAGTGGTTCTCAAATTATTTGTTCCTTATCATAGCGTATATCTACATTTGGTGCATTGTAAGAGCTGACGTTAATTTCTAATCTTTACATTATAACATAACTATCATTGTATGTTAATATAACAAATATAACAAACTAATTTTTGCTAAAAAAAAATTTTGAATTACTTATCGATAAGTTATTATAGTGATAAATGAAATTATTACAAATACATTACAATATCATATTATTTTGAATTAAATACTTTTGAATTAAATATTTTAATGAAATAATCTTTGGAAAAAATCATATATTATAAATTTAAAAGGAAAAGAAAGATAAAAAAATTTATAATACAAAAGTTTCTTAAATATTTCTAAGAGAGAAGTTGAAGATTTAAAAATAGTTAATTATGACAATGTTCAAAATTATTTTTAAAAAACTAGACGCTATAAGATTTTGTTGTCGCTATATTACTTTCAGAAATTATGCGTTGAATCGTGTTATTAAAAGGATATTTAAAAAATTTGAATATAATTTTTGATTATATTCTTTTACATATCAAATAAAATTGAAGAAAAAGTACTAAAAATATGACATAATAAAAACTTCTATCTTCTTCCAGCGAAGCCCTCCTCACTTTACCATCATTAACAGTCTTCAAGCAGGAGGCGCCTTCGCCTGAGAATCAACATAATCCTAAGTAAGTCGTTAGAGATTATATATTAATCTTTAGTATATATGATTAAACCATTTCCTGCGCATTTCTTTTCTTTGAAATATTAGGATCTGAGTAAATAAAGGTCCATTCCTTTCTTTAAATAACAACTTTACAAGTACTTTTTAAAGATATTGTATAATTAAAGATATGAAGTATAAATCAATAAGTTTTATACATTTATTAAAGTGATAAAAATTAATTCGAGGCATGAACGATCATTGTGTAGTAAAGAACTAAAAAGTCATCGTGTGTACTAAGATTATTTTTTTGCATGACACTATCATATAAGAATTCATTTATAATTTAGAAATAATTGAGAAATTAATTTGAAAACGTGGAATTCAAACTCAATTATGTTTGAATTGAATCCTTGAAAATTGTAAAATTCACACAATAATAATAATAGATACCAAGAACGAATATAGCCTTTTTCGCTTAATATTGTTGAATATTTCTCAATCGGGTTTTACTTTATAATTATAATTATCTTCTTCTTTCTTATTCTTAATTGGATTTTCGCGTAACATCGTTTATTTCTTGTAAACGATAGAAGCGTGCGGTATCGATGATAACAACTGGTATTACTACGATTACAACTACAATAGGAAGAGGATGACATTATCTCTCCCACGGGGCGGGGTGACGTCAGGGGTGACGGGGGTAAAAAGTATTCCGAGCGGAATTTGCCACGCGCGGCTCCCCCGCAAAGACACGGCCGCAAAGATAAGACCGCGGCTATATCGTTGCGCTCGTTCGCGGCTATTGAGAGAATAAGTCGCTCGCGTTCGGGTCAGACTTCTTACTCTCTTATGCGCGTGTTTATCGCACGGCGCGTTTTGCTCCGTAAATCCGGAGTTGGCTGTGCGATGCACCGATTATAAACGTCAATCGCGAATCGATATCTCATCCTGTGTTTGTGGCTTTAGTATAAAGATTGAGAGGGGAGATTCTCTGGGTGGGATTGAATAGGATTCTGTGCAATGGATAACGCAGTGCGCGTGAAAGAAACACTGCAGTATGAGCTCTGCAGACGGAATAGTGATATGATTTCACGAATGAAAAAAAATGATTTTTACATATATCAATTTCCAATGACCTTCTAAATCTCAAATATCTTTATAGAATTGTGAATGGTATTGAATTAAGTGATACAGTAACATTCTGTATATAAACTTTCTCTTTTGAAAAGAAAATTCATTTGTTTTCCGAAATGATTATTTCGTTCGACGGCGCATATAGGAAATTACTGTCATTATCTACCTGCAAACTTGTTATCTAAGACTAATTATCCAAATAAATGGAAAAGTGGGAAAACTATCGGGTCGCATCATATGAATCATGCGAGCTCATCATATCAATGTGTAATAAGTAGAAGATGAAATTGTAAGAGGTCGGCCCGTGATCTTATTGCTCTTCGTACTTGGCGTAAAATATGATATAGATCATATAAAAGATATATTTGGATAAGAGTTCGGAAAGTCGAGTATCGGCTGATTAAACGAATGATGAAACTCGTCTAATAGACATACTCGGTGTAGCCTTTCATTTGTGATTATGTTGTTGCGAGTATAATGTTGAAGTCGAGGCAAAAGCTGACGTAATATTTAAGATGATAGACCTCTGTATATAAATAACAAGTTTTTACGTTGATGACTATTTGCACGGATTTATGCGCGTCCTATCTGTGGAATTGAGTGGAAATTTCTACTGAATATCAGAATGAGAACACCCGTGGATTTAAACATCTCGCCGTCACTTTTCTTTAATTTATAGTGAGTGGCTCGATATTAATACATGGGACATTGTTGCTCTCCACGTTTGATGTGAAATATATAAATCATATAAAAAAATGAAAAGAGTTCAGAAAGTCGAGTATCAGCTGGTTAGACGAATGATAAAATCACTCGTCTAGTAGTAGACACATTCAGTGGCCTTTCATTTATGATTATGTTATTGCGGGTGCAACGTTGAAGTCAGGGCAAAACTTTCTGTCTACTTTTCTTATGCAAAAATTAGCGATATTCAATATCGATAATCTAACTAGTTTAACGTATCTTAAATATTTGTATCTTATGAATTATTTTAGTTTAAATCATGTATCGCAAAGGGCGATCAATACAGTGCCGACTAGCAATGGAAATGTCGGTTCCGTAGAGGCCGACAGCAACAACAATGGACAAACCGCGGCTAGTCTCCACCAACTCTTGTATTCCTCCAACGAGGAGTACCCGCCAAATTCAAGCGCAACCAACCACGTTTCTTCTTCTCAACAAGGAAACGAATTAAACGAGGATTGCCGGTGAGTTATTAAATCTTAATTAATTATTAAAAACGAATAATATAATTATATTGATATTATACAAATTATATAAAGATTTATATCACTCGTGTATCACTTTATTCTGATGTTTTTAATTAAAGTAGCTAGTGAGGCTTTTACTAACATTTCAATCGATAAAAGGTTTATATTATTTTATTAAAATATTTCATTGTATAATACAATAAAAATGTCTTAATTTTTTTATTTTAACATAAAATATTTTCCTTCAGTTTTCAGTACGTCTTAGCAGCCGCTACCAGTATCGCCACTAAGGTTAATGAAGAAACGCTAACGTATCTAAACCAGGGGCAATCATATGAGATCAAGTTGAAAAAATTAGGCGATTTGTCTGCCTATCGTGGAAAGATTCTAAAGGTACATTAATCACCCTTAAATACGAAAGAATGCTTATTCGGATGCTTCTAATGTTTGGGTAGCAGCATCTTAAAAAACGCTTTGATAGTTTCCTACGAGGTAAACAAGCGAGCTCATGCTGGTGCAGATCATTTGATAGACTGAAGATTCTTTTTAGATTCTTTAGCTAGTTTAGGAAATTATATAATAGGAAAGATGGCAAAATAATGTAAAGCAATTTGTATATATAATCCCATATTAATTAATAATTAAATTATAAACTCTTCAAATAACTTCCCTAAATCGTTATATAACAAATAATATGCAAGCATAACTTTCATTTGCAACTACTGACGTAATCATTGCCTGATTAACAACATTGCTTGACGTTTTAAATCTTACAATACAGATGTATTTAATTGTATACAATTAATATTCTGCTAATAATTATGCAAATAAAACTCTAATGCCCGTTTCTAATATATAATATAATAGATTAATTTTAATTTTGGTTTAACTTAGATTTAATTCTTCATTGTTTCCCAATTTTTTAATTATAAGACGTGTAAAAACGTAATTCTTTTATTCGATTTATCTTGAGGTTAAAAAAAATATAGATGATTCGCAATTATAAATGCAAGTTAACATGATTGGCATGAGCTCACAATGTGCCCTCGACGTTCGAAAGATGTGAGTCACCCAAACGGTGCTACAACGCCTCTGTAGGGACATTCGACCTTTCTGTTCCAGTCGACGATTCGCATTTGCTTCCACGAGCGACGGCTGCAATACACAGAACGAGAACAGATGTTGGCGTGGCAACGCGCTAGGCCGGGAGAGAGATTATTAGAGGTTGACGTTCCTCTCAGTTATGGTATGGTAGATGTCTGTCAACCATCGCCGTCCAACAACAGCGTGGAGTTTATGTGGGATCCTACGAAAGAAGTCGGCGTTTATATTAAAGTATGTTAATCCCTGCTAACGAATCTTTTCATTCCTAATTCTTTCAAACGCGATTGATCTTTCACTTTTGCATAGCTATATTCTGTATTCTCGTATAATTCGACGAAAAAATTATAAAATTTACAAATTTATTTCACGAATAAAAGTCCAATATGTAAATGTGATTTCCCTAAGATGTTCCCTAATAGCATAGGGATCTTGTGGATGAAATGAGCGCCTTATTATACTACATACATCCAAATCCGAAGTCCTAAAGAAGTTCATCCAGGTACTTATAATAGAATTGTTCCTTGGAAAAATTTAGAAAAATCCAAAAATAGATTCCACAGATTACAGATGGACTTTAGAATTTCTTATTTTTATGTCTTGTGGACGTATGTAGAGCATAATGAAAGGCTCATTTGATAATCTACACCTACAGGATATTCTCAGGAGGCGCTTAAGACATGTTATGGAAAGTTTTATCGTTTATGACATTAGGCGCTTATTTATTAGAGCTAAAGACATTCTAAAATTTCTATCTTATAATATATTTTAAATATGTCCCAGGATATTCAGAACGTATTCAGGAATATCCTGAGGATGTTTTGTGCTGTTAGGATATTTATCGAATAGGTAATAAGAAAAAGTAAAATAAAGGATATTCAGAGTCAATATCTAATATTCCTTATTTTATTTTTTTCTCATATTTTTTGAAAGGGAATCCTCATTCTGTATATTTTATTTATATATTTATCGGTTTTATAATAATTGCTGGAGATTATTTATGTTGCAAACATATTTGTACTTGCGAGTAGGTCAATTGCATAAGTACTGAGTTTACACCGAAAAAGCATGGTGGCGAGAAAGGCGTTCCCTTCCGAATTCAAGTAGAGACTCGATTACCAGGAGGACCACGTCTGCATGCAGCCTCATGTCAGGTGAAAGTCTTTAAATTAAAAGGAGCGGACCGTAAGCACAAGCAAGATCGTGACAAGATATTGAGACGACCTCCTCACGAACAAGACAAATATCAACCTAGCTACGATTGTACCGTCCTCTCTGATGTAAGCTTTTACTGAAAAATTCTCGCTTATAAATAAAATAAATAGAAAAAGTATCGTAATTAAAATCTTTAAAAATAAAAATATTTTTTAATTTTTGTCCTCTTTTTTTTTGTTATAGATTCCTCTGGAATCCTTATCGCCTTCAAACTTGCCGACGCAGAATGGTGGAAGCCCATACGCTTCAACAGATGCAATGTAAGTTGATTATTATATTAATTCTCTTTAAGCATTTTTAATCGATTGCGTTCTATGATAAATAAAAAATCAATTCAGTAACAAATTGACAATATCATAATACGAAAAATGCACATGCATAAAAAAATTAGGAAATAAAATACGCTATATATAAATTATTGAATGTCATTATAGAACAGGTGTATTGAAATAACATTTTCCATAAAAATGGATTTGCAATTTATAATATATTACGTTCAATTATGCATAATTCAACAGAAGCAGTATCAGTAGTATTTTATTAATTTATTCTGTTAAAATAAACGCATGTTAAAATAAACACAATGATATTCTGATTTATTTTTATATGAAAATATTAATGTTGCGAAATATCTAGATTGGAATTAAATAATCAAGATTATTTAAGATTATAGATTTACATATTTTAGATTAAGTTAAATACCAAGATATTAAATTATTTAAATAAATAAAAAATTGGATAATTATGAACAATATTGCCTCTAATTAATTGATATTATTAATTTGACATTTATTATATTTTTCATGTTTATTTTCTTTATTTGCCTATTGTAAAAGAACAATTTCAAACTTTCTAAAACTTTTATATTATTAAACTTTTATATTAAGTTTGTATTTTTTTATATTTTTTACATTATCACATTTATAAGATTATTAAGTTATTAAGTTTTTAATTTAGAGATATAGCAAAAAAATTAAACGTCTTGTTAGAAATATAAAGACTTTTCGTATAAATTGAAACTCAACAAGTTTCACAGAATTATTCAGTGATGCTTGCAAAAAGAAGTTTAAGACTTTTATCTTTGTGCAAGAAATCTATATATTAAATTCAATTATACACTCAACAAATTAAAAAAATAGTGAAAGATAAAAATATCGGGAATTTTATTTTTACCGTAATATAGTGCTTCTATATGCTTGATTTGAGTGCAGTGAAAATCTATGCTATGAAAATCTTATTACAAATTCCTACTTGCTGTAGCTCGCGATGACTTATTGTACAAATAGCCAACTAGTCGATTCTGGATACGGCGAGTTTTGGGCGCCCACCTAACTATACATAGATGAATCATTCGTCTCACAATAAATCAAATGTTTTGTGTCGATGGCGTTTTTTGCTTCTTTTGAAAATATCGACGTGCAAAAACAAACATTGCAATTGCATACATCATGATATAACTATATGTATATTTAAACGGCTTATTTTTATCCCAGCGATATTTTATAATTTCTGGTAGTCCGAATTATTATATATATACAACATTCTACAGCAATAACGACATTTTACATCGGCATAATATAAGAGTAAGATAAGTCTTTCTCTTTTAATGCCTTTGCCTCGATTTGCTGATTCGTGCTGAGAAACACGTAGTCAGACAAGTTTTTGCATCATATGGCGTTCTGTAAATACCTGTCTCAAGGATATAAATAGCAGTATGTTTCTAATAAATCCGATTCACTAATGTCCTCCGATCATTGTTTTTGTTTCTGCGAGTTATTTATATGCACATAAATTCAAGCAATTACCACGACCTTCACAATGTTATGGCGCAGGTAGAAATAAATGACAAACCCATGAAAATAGAATTGCGTAGTGACCGTACTAAAAAGATCATCTATTCACGATTGTTTTTGATTGAAATGAAAAGAACTTATAAATAAAAACTGATATATTATATTTTTTTTTATCCTAGCATATTGTTGGTAATGGATTGTTGGATAAAAATTGATCAGTGAAAAGCAAAGCTAGAAGAACATTTTTTGGTTGCAATAATGTCTATTTTCACAAGATTGTAGATTAGTTTTAATCTTAATATAATTCATTCTTTATAAGAGTTAGAAAGAGAGATAAAGAATAGATTAAACTGAGATTAAAATTAATCTACATTGAAGAAATGAACGTAAAAATAAAGATTGAAGTTAGTGAAGAACATTTGTGTGAAGATATTTCGAAAGTATGACAGGGAAAAGTTTGTTCTTTCGCTTGTTTTTCTCGTTCTCTTTCTTACAAAAATTAGGAAAAAGACAAGAAAGTAAAGCTACTGATTTTTTATTTCTTTTCGAGGAAAAGAATTGAAAAACGTCTGTCTTTTCATCATCATCATCTATTATTCTTCTTTTACTCCTTGCTTTATCAAGATAAAGAATGGAGTCCAAAGAGAGTTATGCACTTCTCGGTTATACCAGAAGCCACTGCGACGTTGTCAGAGCTCTGCAGGCCGTTCGTGGCTGGGTGGGAATTTATTCTGGTGAAGGATAGTAGCGGTGGTTATGCCTCCATCAAGAGTCCCTCTGTAGTGGTGAACGGGAAGTGGGGGACACGGAGGTAGACGTCGGGCATCGCCGCCAACAAACTGGCTTGAACTGGCGCGAGCCGGCGTCCCTGTCTCCGCCGATGGCGAGCCTCTCGATGGAGGGGAAGTTGGAAAACCGGCAAAGACCGAGGAAGAAAGAGAAGGAGAGATATTCTGCGAAAGAGAGACACGAGGTTCGCGAAAAATTCCGAACGCTGTATATTGCGCGTAGCCGCGTATCGATTTCTGCTGAATCCATTCAGGCGCGTCCAGGTCGCAAAAAAGCTAGATATCGTGCGATAGTTCATTCTTGAATCAGAATGACAACCACTGCGATCAAGTCTCATTGCTGAGCACGTATTTATTTTACGAGTAAACGAATGACATGCGTCATTCGCATAATTGCCTGCGATATTTATTAATCAATATTTTCCTTGCTACCGGTGCCGAAAAAAAGTGTATAATTTCTTTTGCCTGGATTGAGAATCAATATCCCACCGAGTTCGCACGAGCAACCTTGAAGTGACTCCGTCGGGCATCACTTGGAAAGAAAGCGACTGAGCTTGCAGTCGCTCAGTTGCATCGTACACGCGAGAACCGGTATCAGTCCGAAGCAGTAGTCTTTAACTTGTTCTCGCTCGAAGCGTTCAAGATAGTGCAAAGCTCTCGGAGAGAAAGATTTAATTTCTTCAGCATCATTTTAGTTTAGCCGCAGATTGGTTTTCTTGACGTTTGGTCTGCATCATTGTTTAGTGCTCCGATCCACAGAGAATTTAATTGTCTCTAAAGATAAGAGACAATTAAAGATGAAGAGGAAATCAGCAGAGTTTTGAAATTTGTTGTATCGGAAAATATCCAAAGTTTCTGTACTTGCGATTTGATTGTTCGTTAGACAAATTTGTATAAACTAAAGCTTATCAAATATAATTTCGTTATATTTGAACAAGTCACCTGATTTGTGTAGTGCCAGGCAAAAAAAGAAGAGTGGGGCTAAAGTTATCGTCCGAGATAACTGAATTAATCTTATTGTTAGTCTGGTATATTCCGGTATACGCGACAAGGTTCCAGCGCGGTGACTGAATCCATCAAGAAGCGGATCGATCGGGATTGCCAGCATAAATAATGTGCTCGACGACCGTATAAGGGGTGTTAGCTTCGCTGATCGGAACAGTTCATCCTCGCACTGTTGATGTATCCGAATTGCATCGTGATCGGGGGCGACTTAATATTACGCTGTCTTTTAAACAAGTAATTACTTTGCTGTCCCATATATTCGTGGTTCCCTTCGCGAGAAACTAAGTGTAACGCAATCAATCAACCATTAGTCATGCAATAAAACCGCTGACGAGATCACTTGTGACAGATAGCTTATGACAGCTCCCGGCCGCGTTTAATAATAACCACATGTGATGCATCGAGCGATTTTCTTCAGGCGATAGTGGTCTTCTTCAAGTGCAGTTAAACATTGAATTGATATATCGTGAGTGAGTACCGTTCAGGAATTCCCTCGTCCGTCGGAACAGATAATCGACTTCCAACAGAGTGTACGCGAATTTCGCACGCACTTTTAGTTACGTTGATTGATAATCTAAACTTCGTGGTAACACGTGATATTCTGGCTATTTACGTGCTCCTATCGCGGCAGGATCATCCCCTCAGATGACGAGCAGCCTTGCCGCCGAAAAGCTGACGCCAGGGCGGTTAAATTGAGTCTTGTCAATCAGGGCATGTCCTGTTTTTCCCGATTAATGGGAATTTTATTTTTGAGAAATCAAGGGGACATAAGCACAAGAAAGAGATTTTGAGTAGAACAAAGATTTTCCAGGAAAAATGATATAATTTCGAGGAAGCTCAATTTAGATTCGTGAAATCTATTGATAGTTTTGAGAGAAAAAAATAAGGAAATTATTGTAGTCGTTTATACAGATCGTGCATCAGGAAATGTCAATGAGATTAATTGCGCAACTCAAGAAGCATTAATCATTTCTAGGACTGATTGTGAGTTCATCATCTAATAATCTCAACATTCGTCTCTGTGTTATAAAAAGTAATAAGATTTATAACTTCGGAATATGTAGAGAGAATTTCTTGGAAGAAGAAACAGGATGGATATACTTCACACATCGAAGTGTCTCATGAGGCAATAGAAAATTGCGTGCAATGGCAAACATGTTACACTATAATTAGGCTTGATGCAAAGTGGCAGCATGCACATGTCAAGAAGATAAACATCATGGGCTCGGTGACACTCTCGCGGATACAAAGTTCATTCCTTTTATAGAGGTGCATTAGACAAGTGGAAGACAAATAACGAAGTTCGAATGGCCTATAAACAGTGAAGAAGTGTAAACCAATTACATTTGACAAAAAAAGAAAGATCTTCAGATTTTTAAGGAATCTTATTGCGAGATTCCGCTCTTTGAATTACGGAATTCCGCATATCTAGTGACTATTGCAAGACGACGTGTTTGCACGTGACTTTGTATATAAGAAACAGGGAAAAGGAAAAAAAATACACACCGATTACGACTCGGAGATTTCAACTCGAGGCCGGAGCCACGTATGAAGATCAGAATTTCGAGAGCGTTCGTTGGCGGACAAACGTCGCCGAGCGACTAGCAATATCCGGTTTGCGGCAGACAAATGCAATTCGACTGACACGAACTTATCCTATCTGTCGAGCTGAGCTGGAACTCTTTCTGTTATTCAAATTCACCGAACAACTTTAATTATTATTTGGTGAATATTATATACCGCATCATTGATCGACTCGCGTTATATCACGAACAGCCGCGCGATGTGGACGGTCATCTACTGTAACAATTAATTGTTATTCGATCGAATTAATAAGACAGAACGAAAATTCGAGAACGGTATCTCTCGCTAATATCGATCACGAATGGATGGAAAGACGCTTGGAGAACGGTTGGACGTTCGAGCGTGCGGGTGCATCACGTTTATGAATGAACGCGTGAAAAGTCGGAAGAAAGCCTTTAAAGAGAAAAACAGTTTGCCATAAAGAATTTCTTTTGGTTCAATCATCAAGATTATACTCGTCATGTCAAGAGACTACTGGAACTTGAAAAGCTGCTGGTCCATCAGGCGGCCGCATTATCCGCTCGATCAATTTGTTACGTGGCTTCTGGAGCACGAAGTAGTTGTGAGCGGTGGTCCCCCGCATGTACAGGTCGTAGCTAAGTTCGTCCATGCCCTGTCGAACGCACGAATGAAGAGAGGATACATAATGCGAGGAGGACTAGTCAGTCTCCAGATAAGGAAGCGTTGGGATACGAAGAAACTCGACGGATGCAAAAAAGTCAAGCTGATAGTTCGTTTAAAGGGACATTCTGCGTAAGGATATGCTAATGTTTTTTTTTTTAAGATATTACTGTACATTTTTAATAAAAAGATGAAATTTAAAAAAAAATGAAGGTTTTTAGCGGCTATACATTAAAGGAGCAATGATATCTTAATCCTTTATTTTTAATTAAATTTGAATTAAATTGTTTTAATTTAAATAATAACTTATTAGAAGTAGTAGCGATTTATAGAAATGATCAGAATAACTCAAATAATTTGACATTATGATAACTTTAACAATATATGCTGTCCGCATAAAAATATCGGTAGCGCATTACATTACGTTAAATATTAGTCATAATACGTACTAATATTAGTAGACTGATATTAGTAAATTCGTAATATTAAGTATGAGAAAAAGCCATCTAACGGGAAAAACGCCACGAACTTTTTCCCACACCTAATATATACATAATAGTAAGCTTACATCACGCATGTTACATTATGATTTTGTTTGTGCGTTGATATTAGTTTACAGTTACATACAGGCTTCAGTTAACTATTCAATATTTACTATTCAATACTAACATAACGCGTTCTTGCACAGAAAATCTTACAATAAAAAATATGACTTCTTGAATATCACATATGAATGTCAATTGTTTCTTACTTTAAATTCAATGCCACGGTTAAAGAAAATGCTTTGCAACGTTTAAGTTACTTTATATTTTTATATCGTTATTTAATTAATAAATAATATTAAAATTGTATTTACATAACTTTCGCATTTAACTTTAATAAAATTTGAGATTTCAAATATATAATTTAATAATATTATGTATTACAATCACCAATGTATGCCCATTTCACACATTGTGTAATATTTAGTAATATTTGTAATATTTAGTATTTACATATGAATTTGAAATTATAAAAAATCAATTGCATGAAATTAATTTTCTTGTTTTATGTTATATGAGAAAATTTATATCAATATCATGGCTTTGTGGAAATTCAAACAAATAAGTTAACTCATTTTGAACATACATGTGAGTGTTACTTTTACTATGTCTTTTAAATTTTTATTTGAATTTATTATTATAAGAAAAGTTATTTTCATATTGATTTTTGTCGGGAAACGTCTATCTGGAATATTTCCTGGAATATATCGTTTTTTCATGTACGTAAATTGTTCAGCTATATAAGTGTCAACAGTTCTTGATTTATGCTGCATGCACAATTAATAAGACAGCTAACGTTTTATGACGTACCTCAACGAATATGCGCATCGAAGTTTTATGTTATGTATATCGGAAAAATATAGCAAGAAAATCATCGTGACATTCCGGAAGGAAATAATTACAATCTCATAATATAATTATACTGCAAATGATAGATGCAACAATTTAACATATGTAAAAAATGTTTGCATTTTTATAAAATGCATTTTTATAATTGCATTTTCAAATTTTTAAGAGAAACCTTAACAACTAATTAATATGCTATTGACTTTGATATTTTCTAGATCACCACAAACACGCACGACTATCGGCGGCAATTCCTCTCCGGTAGTCGCCCCATTAGCACTTTCGGTTTCTAATTCTGGTATCGTACCATTGGTTCCGGCTTCAGATGCCGTGAAGGAAAACGTGGGAACGGCGCCGGCCTTGCCATCGCCTGCAGCCATATTGCCAGATCAACCTTGCATTGAAGCTGATGTTAGTTTGACAGCACACAAAGCTACTTCCCCGCAACAACTAATCGAGTTTATAAAAACAGTAAAGATCCTTATTATAAGAAATTAATTTTTCGATATTATATTTTTTTGTTTAATATTTTAAAGTAAAGAATAGATAAAGAAGAAAATATTTTATGTTATATATGCATAATAAAAGCGATGTGAATTGAGTAGCTCAAAATTTGATACAATCATCCTAATTGTTAACTTTATATTCATGATTCTTAGAGAAAACACTTTTCTTTTCAAAAATATAGTTCGAAGATACGAAAACAAATTATATGCTACTAGAAATATATTTTTGGAAAAAAAAGCGTTTTTTCTAAAAATTATGAATATAAAGGTAACAATTATATAAAAGGATAATTGCATAAAATTTAGAGCTGTCCAATCCATATTGCTTTTTATGATAACTTTATATGAAATCTCGCAGGGTGCCCCATGTATCACCGAATTACCACCCGACGCAAATGCCACGCAGACAACCGCCTGGCTTCGTGCCAGCCGATTCAACGCGTTTGAATCAACATTTGCAAGTTTCTCTGCATCGGATATTTTACGCTTGTCCCGAGAGGATCTAATCCAGATCTGCGGCGTGGCAGATGGCATTCGATTGTTCAACACATTGCATTCTAAAGCTCCGACCCCGAAGCTTACTCTCTATTTCTCGTTGGAAAGTAATGGCTCACTCTGGAGAGTCGCCTACCTCGATACTTTAACGAGCACCGCTCTCACAAACAAGTTGCTCAATGCTCTAAATTTGCCTCACGACCGACTTCACTCAATACTGTTCCTAGGACCACAGGGTATACATGTGTTGGTCACTGACGAGCTGGTAGCAAACATGAAAGACGAGAGTATGTATCTTGTTGAGACTATTAAAGGTAAATTTTATTTTATTATAATTTTATTTATGATTTTGAAAAAGATTTTGGAAAGACTAATAACGCCATATATATTTTTCAGATCCGGCTAGCGAGCGTTACAAATTATTAATAAAATCAAAGATCATTTGAATAATTTTTGTAAATTCTTTCTTTTTAATTATTATTTTTTTATAAATAAATATGCACAACATAATCAGAGAAGAAAAGAGGAAGAAGAAGCAGAAAAATCGATAAAATATATAAATATTTACAAAAGATTTTCGGTATTAGTTTTATATTACCCGGGAAAA